GGCCGGCGAGCGAGGGCGCTCCTCGCCCCGCAGCGTGCGCCCCCCCCGCGCCGCGATCGCGCGCCCTTCCGCGCAGCCGAGGCGGCCGGAGGGGAGTCGCGCCGGAGGGGAGCCGCGCGTCCCGAGCCGGAGCGTTCGCGGCAGCGGCGGCGCGGGGCATTGTTCGCTCTCCCCGCCCCCGCCCGCCCCCCCCCTCCGCCCCGCCCGCCTCGCCGCCCGCGCGCCCCTCGCTCCGATCCCACCCCTTCTGCGCCGCTCCCGGCGCCCTGCTCGGCTCCCGGCCCGGGCCGCCCCCCGCGCTCCCCACGTTGCGCGGAACAGCGTGAGCGCCCGCTCGACCGCGGCCCGGGCGGATCCGGCGTGCCCGCCTGCCCTCCCCACCGCCTCCCCCGGCCGGGAAGCGGAGCCAGAGCGGAGCCTGGACAGAGGTGAGTCGCGGAGCCCCCCACCCCCTCTCCCGTGCCCCCCTTCCCGCCCCCGGGCTGGCGAGAGGGGGATCAGGCTTCGCGTTATTGTACAGTTGAAGGAATTGTTTGTACGGCGTGGCGAAGGGCTGGTGCGACTCCAGCTTCTTGGACAGGCAGGCTGCACAGGGGAGGCTGCTCTGTGCGTGTCGTGGGGGGAGGCGGGGGGGGGGGAGAAATGCCTGCCCATCCCTTTTCACGCCTTCCTTGTAAGTGGGGGCGAACTCTAAAGAAATGCCAGCTAAGAGACTAGTCCCTGCGGAATAACCCTGGGGACGGGCATCACATCCACCCAAGCGCACGGTCTCACTGGAGCCTTCCGAAGAGGGAGCTCCTGGGAGCGCGGGCCCCCTGCCCTGGAGTCACAGGATCAGGCCCGACACCCGCAGCCCCCACTCTTGGAGGAAACAAGGCGTTCTGCATTTGGTTAGTGCCTCTGGGAGACTTCTGTTTGGACAAGGCCCGTCACTTCCCTTCAGACCCTTCCGTGTGCAGAGAGAAAGAACGCGGTTTCGAGAAAAGCGCTCGGTTTCGGATGGTGGCGGTGGAAATTCAACGTATTGCTTAACCGTTTCTAATGTTCTGCATTTCCTTCTGGTGGACATCATGTGTATCTTTTGAAAGTCGAACTACCGGTTTATGACCTGCCATGGAAGGCGACCGGAGGGCGTGTTCCTGTGTGTGTGAGTGCGCGTGTGCGTGCGTGTTGGGAGACACACTCCGCAGATCGGGCTTTAAAGGGACTCGGACTTTCCGGGCGGTCTCCGGGCTTTGCGATGGGGATGGGGGCGCTTGCGTGGAAAAGCCAGTGCTAAGTTCTTGAGTGGATTCTGGAGAATGCGTGGAACTTCCCTTCAGCAGTTGCGGCTGATTCATGCCGGCCGCTGTTCGCTCCACGGTGGATGGCAGAGCCCAGGAAGATGCCTGAAACAATGGGGGATTCGCAGGCCCCCCCCCGCTCCTGCTTCCATTGGCCAGCCCCATGTGTCAAGCAGAGGAGGTTGCATGAACTCCCGCGCTTGGGGTTCCTGAGGAAGCGGGGGGGGGGGGGTGGCAGCACAAGCGCCCTTCCTCTTTCACACGGGGTCTGTGCCTGGCGGGGGGCAGGCAGAGTGCGAGAGCCACGGCTGGGTGGGAATCACCCGGTCCCGCCTGACTGGTGGGCTTCCGCTGTCACCCCCGGCTGCTCGCCCGGCCGTGGCGCTGCAGTTCCCAGCCGGGCCTTTTCTGCCTGCCTGCCTGCCTGCCTCTCGCTGCAGGGGAGACAACAAAGCTATTGATGGCCACTGGCCGGGTCTGGCTGTCCCCTCCTGGCCACAATCAGTGAGTCATATGGAGGCCGAGTGGCGGCCGGCCGGCCGGCCGGACAGGCCGCAGCTGCTTGCCGTGCCCGTGGCGGAGCTGGCAGCAGGGCGCGGTGGCAGGCAGGGAGAGAAGGAGGTTTTCCCGGTAACGCTTGATGGGATCAGAGATTTAAAAAGCTCAGGGATGCTGTGCTTACTGTAACCTTCGTTAATTTAAAGGTCGGGCGACAGCTGATTAAAGCCACCGCACTTAGCCTCTGCCGAACGAACGCGAACGCGCTCAGAATGGCTGGCGGGGGAGAATCGTATGGAGAAAGCGGAGAGGAGACAAAGCTGCCCTCTTGCAATGCGGGGGCCCAGAGGGGCCGCCCCATGAGGCGGGGTGGGGGTGGACGCGGGGCTGATCAAAGGGGAGAGTTCTTCGGTCAGCCCCCAGTGGGACTCTGGAGGTCACTTCTGCCGGATTCTGAGATTTGCCATACTGGGGGACTTTAAAAGGGGATTGGAGTACTTGTGGTGGAGAAAGCTACCCGGAGTGATGAGTCGGGAGGGTTCTGTGCTTCCCGCAGTATCAGAGGCAGGATGTTTGTGTGGGCCAGTTGCTGGGGAGCATGGGGAGGAGGGTGCTGAGGCCCTGGCCGTGGGGTGAACGCAATGCTGCTCCATCCCAGCTCTGTTTATGTTCTCTTTCGTACGCATGTTTCCTAGGGAGGTAAGTTTGTTTCTTTTCTAGGAGATCGAAGGGGCTCCCTGGAATTTCCACAGTGGCCCAGTGGGAGAGGGTCTCATCCAGGCAAGCCCGCCGTGGCGCAGGCAGGGGTTCCGTCACCACCCGGCAGAGTCGAGCTGTGGGCCCCCTCACCCCAGTGCTGTCAGATGCGCTGGACTGCAACGTCTGTCCAGAGAACATGGGCAATGATGGGAATTGTAGTCTAACACCTCCGAGGGATGGCCGTTGCGGGGGTTGGCATAGTGGATCACCGTTCAGAAGAAGTCAGATCTGAACCTAGCATGTGGGGGGGGGGGGGGTTGGTCTGAACCTAGCATTCCCTGGCTAGGGACCCCCGTGGCTCGCATCACCCCCAGCTGGCCAGGAGATGCTTGGAGCTGCAGTCCAACACAGCAGGTGTTCCCCAACTCCGGGAAGGCTGTCCAGGCTGCCTGGCTGATGAAGCTGTGAAGCGCCTTCCGAAGCGGTTTTGTTTCGGCGCAGCTGGCCGTCTTGCCCGAGTCCAGGCCGGCCATGGCGGGGCTTAACTAGGCTTTGCCGAGACAAGCCAGCATCGAGCTCGGCTCCATAAAGCAGCCGTCCCACTATCGCCAACTCCTTCGGAAGCTGGGGGCGCCAAGAACATGCGAAATGTTGGTTTGTCGCAGGTGGGAGCTTGCAGCCAGCCCCTCACAGCCGGGCAAGGACGGGAGTCGGAAGTGCATCTGTGGCCTAGCCTTATTCTCACACCGTGTGTTAATGCTTCATCTGATCAGGGCCTCTGTGTGTGTGTGGGTGGGTGTTAATTTCACACAATGCACTTATGGGCTACAGAATTTACGCAGATACAAAAATGCTTAGGAGTTCAGCCTTCAAACGGGCAGTTGAGGTGAGTTACAAAGTGCACACAATGTGTACGCAGATACTGTAAAATAATAAAAACGGAGACTGCTTGTAAACGGAAGAAGCAAGCACCCAGCAAGCAGCGCAGTGCTGTGGCCAAAGGCGTGCAGGAGTCTTGGTGGCAGCGCTGCGTCGTGGGAAAGGGCCCTTCTCGTAGCAGCCAAGAGAATGCTAATGAGATGCAGAAACAGCCCAAGGGGCTGCTGGGAAGGAGATAAGAGGGAAGAAGGTGCTGTGTTGACGGCAGGAGAAAATTCAGGTGGCTCAGTTCTGCAAGCCACCTATGGAAGAAGTGAGACCTATTTATTTAACGGGGCCTCGAGCCCACCTGTTCCTAAGGTAGTTCCTAAGGCAGGTAGTCGCAAGACTAAGTCTTTCCCTTTGTTTGGAGCCACCAGAAGCTCGTTCAAATCAAAAACGTCTGTCGTGACTTCGGACCGTGCCCAAGTGCAGACTTTGGCAAGTGTCTGCCGGAGGAGAAGACCGAAGCGGAGAGGCGACCACCAGCAATGCAGTTCTGACCCACATCGGCAGGAGCCACGGTCAGGGAGGCTGTGCGTTGGTGGCCAGCTTTCTTCATGGCCCCAAGAACGGACATGGCCCCTTCAGCATAGGGCAAGCTTGCACGCCAAAGGACCGATCTGAGTGCGAGTGTCTCACTGCCCGATACGTAGGGTTGTGCATGCATTAATTTCCCCTAGGATGCCCTTAGATGTTGGAATTTGAAATGCTGCGGGAACAACCCTCCCCTATTCAGTGGGGGGCATCAATCCGGGAAGGCCAACAGGGTGGGATCCTTCCTTCTTTTCCCCATCTTCTTACTTCCCTTTTTTCTTGGTCCCTAGAGGTTACGATTAATTGAGAAGCATCATTAGGAAGAGCATTCTGATGGAAAGTGCTCCTCAGCCGTGGCACAGACGGCCTTGGGAAGTGATGGACTCCTGTTGGAGGTTTTCAAATAGGAGTTGGACCAACACATCCCCTGCACTGGCAGTGTGTTGGACGGTCCCTTCCAACTCTCCAGTTCAATGTGCAGAGCACTTAAAGAGCTGAATGGGGCGATTCCCGCTCTGAGGAGCTTCCACGTCACAATTCGACGTAGGATGGGCAACGGAGGACGGTGAGGGGAGCAGAGGCTGGAATAGATGGAAAAGAATAGGAGTTGTTTTAGTTCTGCATGCGTGGTCTTAGTTGCTTCCATAATCTGGTGCAGTCCAGGTGTTTTGCACTTCACCTGTGAGCAGTCCTGGTCATTGGCAGCCCAGGTACCCGCAGTTCCTTCTTAGGGTTTTGTGTGAATGCAGTTGAGAATAGATTCTGAAGATGTTGTATGGATGAGTTGCTTCTCTCCCTCTTCCTCTTCCCCTTCCTTCCATTTCTCTACCACTCAGTCGTCAAAGTGCTCCGGGCAGTTTATCGAGTTTAAAAAACTTTAAAACACAATATTGTGCATAATATTAAAGCTTACGTACAAACCTAGAGATGGACAGCAGACACTCACACAAAGATATTCAACAATACGAAATCGTGAATAAAACCGTATTACATGCTGTCAGGTGCCTGAGAGTAGAAGAAAGTCTTAACCTGGCGCTGGAAGATGACAGCCATGGTGCTGGGTGGGCTTCGTGGTGAGCTCGGTCCTCCCTCAAGGGGCCACCACCGAGAAGAGCGTCTCCCTTGTCACACTTCCCAAGCCTCCCTGGGGAAGGGCCCTTGATACTGAGCAGCGCGAATGTGACTTGTGCTGGTATGAAAATGAATCGACTTGGTTGACTTCTGGCTCATTGCATTTTCTCGGTCCCACCTACCCCGCAGGGTTGTTGTGAGCTTAAAAACTGAGTGCCTGTATGGAGGGGGAAGAAATAAGAGCTTCTTAGCGGAAAGTGGGGATAAAGCCATGACACGAAAGGGAACAGCTTGCCATCTGCTTTGCTGGGTGGATTTGGAAGATGGGCTGATAGTTCTTGCTTTGCTGGAAAAGGAAGCTAACTTCGTGAGCCAAATACGTCAGAGGTATTAGACCTGTTCGGGTTTGCCTTGTGACTCTC